TCCCATGCTGGGGATATACCCAAAGGTTATAAGTCATGCTGCTATAAAGACACATGCACACGTATGTTTACTGCAGCACTATTCATAATAGCAAAAGATTTGGAATCAAGCCCAAATGTCCTCGGACAGACTGGATTAAGAAAATGCAGCACATATTATACACCATGGAATACTATGCAGCTATAAAAAAGGATGAGTTTGTGTCCTTTGTAGGGACACATCTGCTCTCCTGCCTCAGCAGTTTCCTCTGCTCACTCTCATCACCTTTCCTGCTCCTAGGCTCACCTGGTCATGTGTCCTTCACTATCCTCTGAGTCTCCCTCTTTCCAAGCCACCTCCACTCTACTTGACACACTCTCCCTTAAGATACCAAAGTACACAAGCTCAAGTCCCTGCACCTCACCTTTACTCCCAGACGTGGGAGGGAGATGACATGAAGACCCAAACGCCACTTGGCAAGAGATCTGGGGTGTGCAGAGCGGCAGGTCTGAGGTTGTGGAAGCTCCAGGGGCTCCCTGCTGGAAGCTGCATTGAAGCTGGCTATTGAATGTGACTCTGAGCTGAGACCTCTTCTTGAAGCTCCAGACCAGGAGCCAGCTGCCAGTTGGAGCCCTCCATTTGGTGCCTCAGAGAAACCTTGCACTCTGTAGGTCTAACTCCGAACCCAGAACATCCCCCCATCTCAGCCCTGTCTCTTAGGGAAAGCACCACCTCAGACCCAGTTCTGCACCAAACCCACATTTGAGTCATGGGGCTCCTGCCCTGCACTGTGAGCACTCTGGATAAGCCAGTGCCAAGGGGGAAAGAGCTCTAAATGCCAAGCCAAAACATGAGTTTCAACTCCACCTCCAGCTCTGAGAGCTGTGGGTAGGGAAGGGCCCTAGTCCAGTTTGCTGTAGAAAGACCAGTCTGCCCCTGCATGGCACATGGATGGCGGGGGCAGAATGTGGGTGGAGAGAACAGAAGGTGGGCAGGGCGGAGGAGGCAGGGACATGGCTGTAGCCATGGAGATGCGAGGACAGACAGGACTTGGTGGCCACTTGGATGAACCAAGGGAGGGGTCTGGAAGAGACACCCAGTTTTGTATCAGATGTATAGAGCATGGGATGCTATTCATTGATCGAGAGAGGAGGAGGAGGAAGAGGTATGGCATGGGAAGAGATAGCTGAGCTCTGTCATTAATGTCATTTGAAGTTCCCACAGAGAGCCAGACCCGCCAGCGCCTTCGCTGCTTCAGCCGGCCCTCAGGGTGGCTGTGCTCCCTGGCCCTCTCGGCTCCCGCTTCGTAGCTGTCAGCTGCAGTGGGAGACAGTTGCACAAGGGCCCAGCATGTCTGTGTGTTTACCCAGGGGACTGCTGCATGGCCCATGCCGAGCAGAAGCTGATGGACGACCTTCTGAACAAGACCCGTTACAACTACCTGATCCGCCCGGCCACCAGCTCCTCACAGCTCACCTCCATCGAGACGGAGCTCTCCCTGGCCCAGTGCAGCAGCGTGGTAGGTGCAGAGGGAACCTGTGGCTCAGGCTCAGGTGAAGAGGCAACACATGCCCAAGCCCCAAGCAATCAATATCCAGAGGAATGAAATGACGAGAATTGACTTAGACTCATCAATACAGGGCGGGGAGGCCGGAGGAGAGTCCATGAGGTTTATAGGTGTCCAATATTTAATGAGGTCATGGTTTTGTCAACAAGAAAGAAATGAGGGTGGGAGCGGGATCACCACTGGCTAGGCAACCAACGGACCTGCATAAACTCTGCTCCGCTGAGTCTCCAGCACAACCATAAGCTCCTCCTCCTCATCCTCCCAGCCCCGCCCTACTCTCTCCCCCAGCTTGCTCAGCAGGTGGCCTTACAGGCTCCCTACTTATTGGGGGAAATACAAAACCACACTTGGGGAACTGACGGGTACAGAGGCCCAGGTGTAGTGGCGGGACCACAGGCAGTGCAGCACCTACTGAGCCAGGTGGGTAAGGGTGTGGAGAGTGGGCATGGCTGCTGCAGGCATGGAAAGGAGGCGCAGATATGGAAAGGAGGCGCAGATATGGAAAGGAGGCGCAGATATGGAAAGGAGGCGCAGATGGCGGCTCTCCCAGGGACCATTGTCAGGGTCTCCATGTGTGGACGTGTGCAGAGGTGGGGGTGCTGAGGAGGAAGGCGGTGCAGGGAATTTCTCATCTTCTCTCTACTGCCTCTGAGTTGGAGTTGACAGAGGGAGCCGTGGCCCACTGTACACTAACACAATGTCCCCACCCACAGGGTTAGAATCCCCCCCTGGAGGCAGCTCTGAGAGGAGCAGTCACAAGTGAAGAGTGCCGGTGCTTGTGTCCTGCAGGGGGAAGGAGGTCACCAAGGGGGCTGACCCTCCTCTGGCCAGGTGGCTGCCTTCGGACACACCAGCCTCTCTCTCTAGCATGGTGGCCCGCACACACCCAGCCTGTCAAACCTACAGACCCCAAGAAGGCTTTGGCCAAATTAATGAACAGCTCCGTCTCCCAGGAGGAAGCACAGCTGAAGGATGCGGAAGGCAGTAGAGCTGTGTGTGCTCCACCCCCTCTCTCCAGTCGGACGGGAAAGAAGCGGGCTTTCAGCCAGGCTCACCCAGGCTGGGGTCTGAGTGTCACTGTCCAGCTGTTGGCTTCTTGCTGAATGGGTGAGCCCAGCTGCTCCTGTGCAGTTGCCACCCTAGTGAGGGTGAACAAGCAGGCGAGTTCCATTTCTGAAAGCGTGGGTATACAGTAAATATCAGGCTGTGGGCTGCTGGGCCAGGAAAGGGTGTTTATTTTTCAGGGTTTATTTATCTATTGACTTGATGAGGGAGGGTTGTAGGTACAACCAGTTTAAAGATGGAAATTTTGAGAGGGCAGGCAGGGATTTAGCACTGGGGAAAGCAAGTAGGCTTGTCAAAGCAGCTGTTTTGGGGAGGCCAGAATCCTGTACCAATGTCCTCAGCACGTTCATCAGCTGCTGGGGGAGTGCCAGATAGGATTAAAGCACAGAACTTTCTGGATGATAGAAATGTTCTGTATCTTCAAAGGAGGTGGGTTACATGGGTAATGCATTTGTTAAAACTGATCAAAATGTAAACCAGATCTGTGCATTTCACTGAATATAAATTATGCCTCAAATTAAAAACATGTTGTAAAAGACAGATGGGCCGGATGCAGTGGTTCACGCCTGTAATCCCAGCACTTTGGGAGACTGAGGCAGGCAGATCACTTGAGTCAGGAGCTCGAGACCAGCCTGGAAAGCATGGTGAAATCCTGTCTCTATTAAAAATATAAAAATTAGCCAGGCATGGTGGCACACGCCTGTAATCCCAGCTACTCAGGAGGCTGAGGCAGGAGAACTGCTTGAACCTAGGAGGCGGAGGTTTCAGTGAGCAGAGATCATGCCACTGCACTACAGCCTGGGTGACAGAGCGAGAATCCATCAAAAAAAAAAAAAAAAAAAACAGATGAAGGTTTTCAACTTTCACTAAAGGCAGAGTAGCTTTTTACAGATTAGCCTCCCCACAAGAGCAGTTAGAAAAACTGGACAAAAATGTGCCCCAGCAAAAACAATTGTTTGAAGGTAATTGGAGACCTCAGCCAGGACTTGCGTGACCAGTCCTAGGAGGTGACCCTGAGTCTGTAGTGCTTTTCCCACATTTGGTGATTGGTAAACAGTAGAGGACTAAGAGGCTAAGAAAGTGAGTATGAAGTTGTAGTTAACAGGCTGGAAAGCCTAGCTGAATGTTTGGCACTCTCACAGGCTGAAATGACCTAATGAGAATTTGGGTCCCACTAAGGAGATGGGACCCTGGAAGGGCCACCCCTAGGAGTCCAAGTGAATACAAAATAGACCACCCATCACAAAAACTAAAACCTTGAACCAGCTTAGTCCCAAACTAGATGAAGGTGATCTGCCCTTACTCCAATTGTGTGCCATAAAGTCAAAGTCAATACTCTCTGGAGGCAGGTAAAAGTTTACTAGGAAATGCCGTAAGACAAGATAGGACTAAATGAGAAAGACCAAGAAAAAAACCAATAGAAACATACATGTAAGGAAGAAACTTTTTTTTTTTTTTTTTTGGAGACGGAGTCTGGCTTTGTCACCCAGGTTTGAGTGCAGTGGCACGATCTCAGCTCATTGCAACCTCTGCCTCCCAGGTTCAAGCGATTCTCCTGCCTCAGCCTCCCAAGTAGCTGGGATTACAGGCATGCGCCACCACGCCTGGCTAATTTTTGTATTGGCCAGGCTGGTCTTGAACCCCTGACCTTCAGGTGATCCATTCACCTCCGCCTCCCAAATTGCTGGGATTACAGGCGTGAGCCCCTGCGCCTGGCCAGTATTTTGCCACAATTTAAAATAAATACTTTTTTTTTTTTCAGGTTTGTGCTCAGACTATATTCTAAACAGTCACATGGCAGCTTACTCTTCTCCAGGCCTTGCTGCCGGCTTTTAGATGTTTATGATCTTTGCCTTCTTGTGGTCTCCTCGGTAGAAGAACGGCATGCAGGGCTTGCTGTAAAGATCTTTGGAGGGAGAAAGGCAGGGCACTGAGCACCGTGCAAGCCCTCCCTTGCTCCTACCTGCCCACCTCACCCAAAGGCTCTACTCACCACCCTGCTTGTCGGCAGCTCCAAGCTCCTGAGGGCCTGGGGTCCCTGGTGCGGACTCATCAGCAGGGTTCTGGGCAGCTGCCTGCAATCCACCATGCCCCTGGTTACCGTCACCCACAAGCGGAAACACCAGCTCCACCTGGAGGGAAAGGTGGTCTGTTGCCACGCCCGTGCCCACACCCACCTCCACCCCCACCCCCGCAGAGGTGTGGCATGTCTTAGAGGGTCCAGAGAAATCAGAAGGTGGGAAACCAAGAGCATAAGGGGGTCTGGGAGGGACCGCCAAGGCAGGCAGCAAAGGAGGGGCAGGAAGAGTCAGGCTCACCATGGCCTCCTGGCTCTTCAGTTCCTCTGGGATGCTTGGCATGGGCCGAGGAGCCTCCTCCTCCTCCACCTCCTCCCTGTCCAGTCCATCTCCTGTGGGGGGTTGCCAGAGGGCTTCTCAGACAACCCAACAAGGGAGGTGACAGTGGGCCCACCTCTGCCCCCACCCTCACTGTGTAACCCCGGGCCAGCCCCTCCCCAGAGGGAAATCAGCAGCTGTTCTTTATTTTTTTTGAAGAGACAACGTCTCCCTGTGTTGCCCAGGTGCAGTCCCACTACCAATCAACACGGGAGTTCTGACAGGCTCCATTTCCGACCTGGGCCAGTTCACCCATTCAGAGGCCACCCTGGTGGTCCCCACTCCCAGGAGGTCACCATATCTATGCTGAATTTAGTGCGGACACCCGGTCGGCATAATGACCAACTGTTCTAAAGAGTCAGTCCTACGCTGCTAACAGTCCCCCCTTCTTCCTGGGGCTCTCTCCTCTTCCTCTGAGCGGTCTCCCATACCTTCCCCAGCGAGAGCCATGAGGCTCAACTGGGCCTGCAGCTGCTGGTTCTGCTGGATGGCAGCTTTCAGGTGTTCCTAAGAGGCCAGGAAAGAGAGTGAGAAGGCACGGAGGTTGCCAGGTCGTCGCCCTCAGGGCCCTGCCCTCATCAACTCCCTCAACTGGGTCTCCTGCAACTATTGGTGGGCCATCTCAGCCAACACTTTGCCCTGAGCTTCCTGCTGCTGCAGCTGGGCAGTGCCTCCTTCTTAGAGGCCAGCTGCTGATAGGTGGCCACGTACTGCTGCAGGGGACCCAGGTAATGGTCTCGCTGCTGCTGCAGACTCTGAGCCTCTTGGCTCTTCAGCTCTACCTGCAGGATAGATGTCAGGGTAGCTAGTGGCTGGCTTCCAGATTCTAGGCCCATAAACAGGGTAGCGAGGGCACTGTGGGACTCTGTCGCCTGCCCAGGTCCCTGGCCCCTGGCCCCTTCCTCCAGGCCTAAGTGACTGCCTCCCTTGCCTAGAGGCCATGCCTCCCTCCCCAGCCTCAAATCTCACACCCTACCTCCCACCATTCAAACTGTAGGCCACATACTGGTGGAAAAGCAGAGGGAGCCAACCACCACCTGCTAATTTGTGGTGAGATCGTTCTGTATGATCTCCATGGTTTGCACACGCCTCCACCTGCTCCCCCCAGAGCTCGGCCTTCCGCCCCAGCTCCCCCAGCCTCTCCTCCAGCTCCTGCAGCTTCACCTCCTGCTCCTGCATCTTCTCCTCCTGCTCCTGCAGCCTCACTTCCTGCTCCCACGTCTTCTCCTCCTGCCTCTGCATCTTTTCCTCCTGTTCCCGAATCTTCTCCTCCTGCTCCCACATCTCCTCCTCCTGCTCCCGCATCTTCTCCTCCTGCTCCCACAGCTTCTCCTCCTGCCTCCACATCTTCTCCTCCTGCTCCCGCATCTTCTCCTCCTGCTCCCGCATCTTCTCTTCCTGCCTCCATATCTTCTTCTCCTGCTCCTTCTTCTCCTGCTCCTGCATCATCTCCTCCTGCCTCCACATCTTCTCCTGCTCCCGTATCTTCTCCTCCTGCTCATGCATCTTCTCTTCCTGCCTCCACATCTTCTCCTCCTGCTCCCGTATCTTTTCCTCCTGCTCATGCATCTTCTCTTCCTGCCTCCACATCTCCTCCTGCTCCCGTATTTTCTCCTCCTGCTCGTGCATGTTCTCCTCCTGCTCCCGTATCTTCTCCTCCTGCTCCCGTATCTTCTCCTCCTGCTCCCACATCTTCTCCTCCTGCTCTCGCATCTTCTCCTCCTGCTCCCACAGCTTCTCCTCCTGCTCTCGCATCTTCTCCTCCTGCTCCCGCATCTTCTCCTCCTGCTCCCGTATCTTCTCCTCCTGCTCATGCATCTTCTCCTCCTGCCTCCACATCTTCTCCTCCTGCTCCCGCATCTTCTCCTCCTGCTCCCGCATCTTCTCCTCCTGCCTCTGCATCTTTTCCTCCTGTTCCCGCATCTTCTCCTCCTGCTCCCACAGCTTCTCCTCCTGCCTCCACATCTCCTCCTGCTCCCGCATCTTCTCCTGCTCCCGCATCTTCTCTTCCTGC